GACCCACTCTACATTCTGGTGCAGTTTGGAGGAGGATGGACCACAGATGATGGGACTTGAAGTACCTTCACTCACTTCCCAAGACCTCTGCGACCTTCATCCAATGACTGATCAAAACCAAAATTGGCACACAGAGCCCCCATGACCCATTCTACATCCTGGTACTGTTTCGAGGAGGACGGACCATGGATGATGGAACTTGAACTACCTTCACACACTTTCCGAGACTGCTGCAACCCTCATCCAATGACTGATCAAGACCAAACTTGGCACACAGAGCCCCCATGACCCACTCTACATCCTGGTGCTGTTTGGAGGAGGATGGACCATGGACGATGGGACTCGCAGTACCTTCACTAACTTCCTGAGAGCACTGCGAGCCACATAAATAACTGATAAAGACCAACCTTGGCACACAATGCATTTCTCAAACAACCCGGGCATTGCCGGGTCCCCAAGCTAGTAAATAATAAAATAAAAGATGTCTCCACTGAAGTTTATCTCCAACCCTTGTTTCCACAACAAGCCATTTTTTTTTCAAAATCCAATATCACGGGGACAGAAAGTGATGTGAATCCTCTGAACAGAGAGGCACAGATAGCAAAACAAACACCACAGGGGTGTTTAGCCTTCCTTATGCTATCCAAAGCATGCATGTGTGTGTGTGTGTAGAGTTACACTTAAAAATATACCTCTTCCAACTTACGTATAAATTCAACTTAAAAACAGACCTACAGAACAGATCTTGTTTGTAATTTGGGGACTGCCTGTTCTGCCTTAACTGGTGTGTCCTTTACCATTCTGACCACACGGTGATCTTCCATGGCCATTCATGTCTTTATTTTTATCTATGAAGTGTTGAAAGATATGGACTTTCAACACTTCACAGATGAAAATAAAGACATGAATGGAGTTGCATCTCCCCACAAAAGACTAGGACATTGGAAAAAGTTGTGCTCTGTCATCATTTGGCAATCAGAGGCGGCCCTAGGTAATTTTCAACGGTAAGCAAACAGTATTTTGGTACCCCCCCCCCCCAACCAATCATTGATATATATTTTCTGTTTGTCGTGGGAGTTCTGTGTGCCATATTTGGTCCAATTCCATCATTGGTGGAGTTCAGAATGCTCTTTGATTGTAGGTGAACTATACATCCCAGTAACTACACTTGCCGCACTTGCTCCCTTGCCTGGCCCGCTTTGGGTCCGGAAGCATGCCTGAAGACCCCGGCGTGTACACCAAAAGTCACCTCTTCTCCTGACTTTCTCCTCAGCCATTGGGACCGAGAGAGAAAGAGAGAGAGAGAGGTGGAGATGCCCACCTTTCCTGAAGGTAGGTGCAAAAACAAAGGAAGGAGCGGAGGTGGGAGATACCTCCAGCCGGAGGGGCTCTCTCTCTCTCTCTCGGTCCCAATGGCTGAAGAGAAAGTCAGGAGAAGAGGCAAATTTTGGTGCGCACGCTGGGGTCTTCAGACACACCCCGGACCCGAAGTGGGCCAGATGTGGCGGCTCCGCCCCTTGGCCCACCTGCGGATTGGGGAGAGGAGAGTGCCGGGGGATCAGGAAAGGGAGCCGGTCGTGGAGAAGGGATCGAACGCGGAGAATGATTGAGTGCTGGCTCTGCTCGCGCACCCGGTGGCCAGGTGGAGCAGGAACGAGAGGGGCTAGGCGAGGCTCAAGGGCCTGGCCCCTTTGGGAAGAGGATCGCCCGGCAGCGAGGCAAGAAAGCCGAGGCTCCCCCTGGACTGCTAGGGCTGTTGTGAGCTGAGGGGGCGCTCCTCAAGTGGCGGCCGAGGGGCATTTACAGAGGCGCCTTGGCGCCCCTGGCAAAAAAAAGTGTTCTGCGACCGCTTACTTCGCGTAATGGACGAGCCGCCCCTGGATACTGGCCTTTGTCTGTATCTTTCCTCTTCCTTCCCCATTCTTTTTCCTTTTATGACTGTAAATCATAAGGTTTTTATTAGGTGTTTTTAATTTTATATTTCATGTTTAAATATCCTCTTATCTCATTGAATTGTCTTATTGAATTTATGCTTAGTTATCTGCTGTTGATTTATGATTTGGTTTATGTATGTAAGGCATTGAATTTTGCTATTATTTTTGTAAACCACTTTGAGTCCCCCCAGAGGTGAGAAAAGCAGTATATAAATACTGTAAAGAAAAAATAAATGAACAGGGAGGGACTGCCCGGTTTTCCTGGCTGTACGGAAGTGGCTCTAGGAGCTTTGTCAGCTAAACAAGAGGCTTTTAAAACAAACAAAAAAAAGATGCTTTCAATTTATAAAGAAACAATCAGCCACATCTCACATGTGCTTGCATACGGCATTGCCAGTTGGCAGGGCTCCCATGCCTTTCTCGGCAGGAATTTTGCCCACAAGTTCCTCCTGACATGAAGGCATTGTTTTGCCAGCTTAATTTCTGTTTGTCTCCCCTCTGGTTCAAGGCACAGGAGCACTGGCAAAGAGAGAGGAAATACTGGGTTGTTGTAGGTTTTTTCGGGCTATATGGCCATGTTCTAGAGGCATTCTCTCCTGATGTTTTGCCTGCATCTATGGCAAGCATCCTCAGAAGTAGTGGAACAGGGACATCTCTAAATTTATTTGGCAAGGGAAGAAGCCTAGAATAAAGCGACTTATTTTATTGGATGAAAAAAAAAGAGGTGGTCTTGGCCTACCAGACTTGAGAACGTACTATGAAGCATGTGGACTTAGCTGGATTAAAGATTGGACTACCTTAAAAAAGAGAAATGTGTTGACACTGGAAGGGGCCGATCTAAGACGGGGATGGCACGCCTACCTATGGTACGACAAAATTAGGATTGAGAAAAATTTTACTAACCATTACATCAGAGCTGGGCTAATTAAAATTTGGGAAAAATACAAAAAGAGACTTTATAATAACACACCACTATGGCTGTCACCCTTAGAAGCATTCCACAGGAGAGAGCTAGGCTGGGAAAGCTGGCCCACCTATGAGGACTTACTAAAGGAAGAGAGAGGAAAATATGAATTAAAAGGAGAAAAAGAAATCCAAGAAAGTTTTACTACCCTATCATGGCTGAATTATAGACAAATCCTCAACTGTTATAAATTAGACAAAGAATTAAATTTTGGACCTAAAGAGGGATTCTGGGATAATATTATGAGGACAAACACTAAAACAATCACAAAAATCTACAAAAAATTACTAGAATGGGCAACAGAAACAGAATTAATAAAAGAATCAATGATTAAGTGGGCACAAAACATAGGCCATCAAATCCGCATAGATCAATGGGAGAAGATTTGGAATCAGAAAATGAAATACACCTACTCCTATAACTTGAAAGAAAACCAAGTAAAGATGATACATAGGTGGTACATTACACCACAAAAGATCTCAAAATTCCACAGCAACACATCGGACAGATGCTGGAAATGTAACCAACACACCAGATCCTTCTACCATATGTGGTGGTCATGCCCAAAAGCCAAAAAAATTTGGAATATAATTTACATAAACATACAAAAGATATTGGATATAAAAATGAGAAAAGAACCAGAGTTCTTCTTGCTGGGAATGTTTGATATTATAGGAGACAAAAATAAAGACATTATTTTCAATTACCTAATCACTGCAGCCAGAATTGTCTATGCCAAGAATTGGAGGCAGAAAGAAATACCACAAATAGAAGAATGGCAAAGTAAGATACTTGAAATAATGAATATGGATGAGTTAACATACTGGCTAGCACCAAATGAAGGAAAACTGAAAAAACACACAAATTGGGACTTGGTGAAAAATTATCTTAAACATCAAAAAATAGAGGTCATTTCTTGATCTATAACAAAGATAGAATATAAATAACTGTACTACAGGAAAGCATGTTGGACTACTGAGAATGAAAGACTCTCTTTCATTCTCTTTTTTTTCTTTTTTTCTTACCATGCTTTTGGGGTTTTTTTACAACATAAAAATAGAAGATCTCCGGAGAATAGATGGAAGCCCATTTTTTTTAATTTTTCTTCTTCCCTTTTTTTTATCCCCTCACATTACCCTACCTCTATTATTATTTCCTACTTTTCTATCTCCTTCACAATTATTCCACCACTTTCCATGTAATTACACTATAATCCAATACAAATATTATTTTTTTTTAAAAAAAAAAGAGGTAGTGAGGATGCTTGCCATAGATGCAGGCGAAACGTCAGGAGAGAATGCCTCTAGAACATGGCCATATAGCCCAAAAAAACCTACAGCAACCCAGTGATTCCGGCCATGAAAGCCTTCGACAATACAGAGAGGAAATAGTTGGCAACCCAAGCTGAATTCTTTCCTCCACACTTCTTGTAAGAAATTAGGAGCCCCCAGTGGTGCAGTGGGCAAAATGGTGTCCTGAGATGGTTTTTAAGCAACTTTTAATGTGGATATAAGTTTGTACATATTTATGGTTTTATGTCCCAGCATTGAATGTTTGCCGTATATATGTTGTGCTTCGCCCTGAGTCCTCTGTGGGATGAGAAGGACGGAATATACATATTTAAAATAAATAATAATAAAATTATAAATAAAGCACTGAGCTGCTGGATTTACAGACCGAAAGGTTGCAGATTCAAATCCGAGGAGCGGCATGAGCTCCCACTGTTAGCCCCAGCTTCTGCCAACCTAGCAGTTCGAAAACATGCAAATGTGAGTAGATCAATAGGGACCACTACGGTGGGAAGATAACGGCACTCCATGCAGTCATGCCAGCCGGCTCTTCAACTTAGAAATGGAGATGAGCGCTAACCCCCAGAGTCAGACCCGACTGGACTTAATGTCAGAGGAAAACCTTAGCATATCACCCTAGTGAAGTATTTTTTTCCCTCTTTGCAAAAGTCACTCAATTGTGCGGTTTGTGCCGAAAGCCAAAAAAAATGACAGAGAGGAAATGTAGAGGTTGCAGCCAGAGCTAAACAAAATATAGTATCTTGCTTCCTTGAACCTCTAAGTGAAGACTTACCTTTCTCTTTCTGGTTCCAGGGACGTACGACCTTCCCATTCCACGGAAGCAATCCTTCATCTACAATATCAGCAATAAATGGTTGCCTGTAGCGTAAAGCACTGGATCCGGCAATATTGGTTTGGCTGAACATTTTATTGTTATTTTGCATGACACTGTTGGAAGCAAACACTGAAATCTTCATTTACTCGTTTAAGAAAATGAAAACTGAATCCAGTAATCTGGGAAGAAGAAGAAGAAGGAAAAGATGCCTGGGCCTTTGGAAACCTGCATTTCCTCCAATTGCGTCAATGGATCTCATTCACATTATTTTGCTGATCTATATATCAAATTATAATTTCATGATCAGCTTTAGGCTGGCGATGGATTGCTCATGCCAATATTTATTTATAAAAATGAATGATGTGACCAAGCCTAATTTTTCACCATCCATATGTTTGGAGAATAACATTTGTGGTTGGTAGGTGGTTACAGCAGAACAAATATGAAGGAAAAGCAAGTTAAGACTGTTGAAAGTGGGTTTGGAGATCATTTTGCTAAGAAGCAATTGGGAAGGCAGGCCAAACTAGCCATTTCTTGTGCTCCCTGCTTCCTTAATACTTCTCTAGAGGTCACAAGCCCTGTGGCATGGCTGTGGGTCTGAGCTGGCTTACAGGAGTTTTATGGTCCAGAGCTATGTCCCCATCTTCCATGCCAAGAGAGAGAGATCAGTGGCCTCTAGGTGAAGAGTCAAGAATGCACACACCCCTTGTGCAATATGCATCTCCATGTCATGGGCTTAAAAAAAAAACTAGTATAGATAGAGGTACATCTGGTTGGCAACTTTAGTGCCACGACACATACACCTGCATTCACTCCAGGACAGGAGATGCTTTTTTCTTGAAACAGGAACATATTGAGTTGCTGTGAGTTTTCTGGTCTGTATTGTTGTTGTGTGTCAGTCTATACCTCTTTGCAGAGATACAGGATGGGTGAGATCTAGCTTGGAAACAGTTCATATCAAAGGGATCTAAAAGCCTTAGCAGACCACAAACTGAACATGAATCAAGAGTGTGATGCAGCAGAGAAAAAAGCCAATGCAATCCCACCTGCATCAATAAGCATAGTGTCTACACCAGTGGTTCTCAACCTTTCTAATGCCATGACCCCTAAATATGGTTCCTCGTGTTGTGGTGACTGCCAACCATAAAATTATTTTTGTTGCTCCTTTATAACTGTCATTTTGCTACTGTTACGAATCGTAATGTAAATATCTGATATGCAGGATGTGTTTTCATTGTTACAAATTCAACATAATTAAAGCATCATGATTAATCAGAAAAATATGTTTGGGGGAATGTGGAAAACAGATGATGGGATTTGCAGTTTTGTTGTTCATTCGTTCAGTCGTCTCCGACTCTTCGTGACCTCATGGACCAGCCCACGCCAGAGCTCCCTGTCAGCCGTCACCCCCAGCTCCTTCAAGGTCAGTCCAGTCACTTCAAGGATGCCATCCATCCATCTTGCCCTTGGTCAGGCCCCTCTTCCTTTTGCCTTCCACTTTCCCCAGCATCATTGTCTTCTCTAGGCTTTGCTGTCTCCTCATGATGTGGCCTAAGTACTTCAACTTTGTCTCTAGTATCCTTCCCTCCAATGAGCAGTCGGGCTTTATTTCCTGGAGGATGGACTGGTTGGATCTTCTCGCAGTCCAAGGCACTCTCAGAACTTTCCTCCAACACCACAGCTCAAAAGCATCGATCTTCCTTCGCTCAGCCTTCCCTAAGGTCCAGCTCTCACATCCGTAGGTTACTACAGGGAATACCATGGCTTTGAGTATGCGGATCTTTGTTGCCAGTGTGATGTCTCTACTCTTTACTATTTTATCGAGATTGGACATTGCTCTCCTCCCAAGAAGTAAGTGTCTTCTGATTTCCTGGCCACAGTCTGCATCTGCAGTAATCTTTGCACCTAGAAATACAAAGTCTGTCACGGCCTCCACATTTTCTCCCTCTATTTTCCAGTTGTCAATCATTCTTGTTGCCATAATCTTGGTTTTTTTGATGTTTAGCTGCAACCCAACTTTTGCGCTTTCTTCTTTCACCTTGATTAGAAGGCTCCTCAGCTCCTCTTCGCTTTCGGCCACCAGAGTGGTGTCATCTGCATATCTGAGGTTGTTAATGTTTCTTCCAGGGATTTGCAGTACCTTCAACCAATTCAGCTCTCACTTCCACAGACCACAGAGACCTTCACAAATTACAGACCTGGACCAAACCTGGCACACAGAACTCCCATGTCAAACAGAAAATACTGGAGAGGGTTGGGAGGAATTGACAATGGTTTAGGGGAGATGAAGCCTCACTCGCCTTCCTCACAACCCCTCCGGCTGGCAAGTGAGGAGAGGGAGGCTTCGCATGAGGCCAGGTCTCGAGCGGAGCCTCCTTTCCCTGGCTCTTGCCCTCACCAGCCGTCGGGGTTGCGAGGCAGCTGAGGGTGGCTGCGCTTGAGGTCTGGCCTTGGGCGAACCCTTCCTCACCTTCCTCGCAACCCCGCTGGATGGCAAGCGAGGACAGGGAGGCTTTGCATGAGGCCAGGCCTCGAGAGGAGCCTCCTTTCCCTGGCTTTTGACCTCACCGGCCAGCAGGGTTCCAAGGCAGGCTAGGGTGGCTCCGCTCAAGGCCTGGCCTCAGGTGAACCCTCCCTCGTCTTCCTCGCAACCCTGCCGGCCAGCAAGCAAGCAAGGAGAGGGAGGCTTCGCACAAGACCAGATCCCTCCAAATTGGCCAAACGACCCCCCTGGGGGTTGCAACCCCCAGGTTGAGAATTGCTGGTCTAGACAGAGGAAAGTCATGCTCCCATTGTATTCTGTCTTGGTCAGACATCCACTGGAACGATGCTGTGTCCAGTTCTGGGCAAGGCAAGCCAAGAAGGAGATGGAGAAGCTGGACAGTGTCCAGAGAAGGACAACCAAAATGATTAAAGGTCTGGAAGCCATTAATTCCTTTGAGGAATAGCTTAGGGAGCTGGGCGTGTTTAGTCTGGAGATGAAAGTTTACAAGTGGACAAAATAGATATGTTTAAATATTGGAAAGGATGTCTTATTGTCTGCCACTCCCGAGACTAGGACACAATGGAGCCGTAGATTGAAGCTACAAGAAAAGAGAGTCTATCTAAACATCAGGAAGAACTTCCTGATGGTAAAAGCTTTTCAACTGTGGAATATGATGTCTAGGAATCCAGTGGAGTCTCCTTTTCTGGAAGTTTTAAAGCAAAAGGTGTATGGCCATCTGTTAGGGGTGTTTGGGAGCCCTTGGTGGCGCAATGGGTTAACGCCTTATGCCAGCAGGACTGAAAACCAACAGGTCAGAGGTTCGAATCCGGGGAGAGTGCAGATGAGCTCCCTCTGTCAGCTCCAGCTCCCCATGCGGGGACATGAGAGAAGCCTCCCACAGGATGGTTAAACATCAAAACATCCAGGCGTCACCTGGGCAACGTCCTTGCAGATGGCCAACTCTCTCACACCAGAAGCGACTTGCAGTTTCTCAAGCTGACACCCCCCCCCCCAAAAAAAAAGGAGTGCTTTGGCTGTGGATTCCTCCATGGCAGAATTATGTCAGACTGGGTGGCCTTTGGGGTCACGAGAAGCTTGGCCTGTCATTGAACATCGAGAAAACTAAAGTGCTCTTCCAGCAGTCACCAGCCAATCCCTCTCCAATGCCAGAAATACAACTTAATGGTGTAACATCTATATTAATAAAAATGTAATGTTCGTTTGTGATATTAACAGAACTCAAAAACCACTAGGGGAATTGACACCAAATTTGGACACAAGACACCTAACAACCCAATGTATGTCCTTCACTCAAAAAATTGAATTTGCCATTTGGGAGTTGTAGTTGCTGGAATTTATAGTTCACCTACAATCAAAGAGCATTCTGAACCACATCAATGATAGAATTGGGCCAAACCTTCCACACGGAACTCCCATGTGGGCCACAGTAATGCATGGCAGGGGATGGCTAGTTAGAAAATGTGGACCATTTCTGCTACCTTGGCAGCCACCTCTCCACAAAAGTCAACATTGACACTGAAATACAACACCGCCTGAGCTCTGCGAGTGCAGCTTTTTTTCCCAATGAAGCAGAGAGTATTTGAGGACCGGGACATCTGCAGGGATACCATGGTGCTTGTTTATAAAGCTATTGTCCTCCCAACCCTGCTATATGCCTGCGAGACATGGACTGTCTACAGATGTCAGATTGTGATTTATGTGAAATATTGTGTATTATGTTTTTTACGGTTTTAATTGTATACTGTGTACTGTATATTCTGTTGTAAACCGCGTTGAGTCACCAGTTAGGCTGAGAAACGGCGGTATACAAGGACAGTAAATAAATAAATAAATAAATAAATAAATAAATGTCACATGCAACTCCTGGAACGATTCCATCAGCGCTGCCTCCAGAAAATCCTGCAAATCTCTTGGGGAAGACAAGCGGGCAAATGTCAGCGTGCTGGAAGAAGCAAAGACCACCAGCATTGAAGTGATGGTCCTCCGCCATCAACTCCGCTGGACTGGCCACGTTGTCCGGATGCCCGACCACCGTCTCCCAAAGCAGTTGCTCTACTCCGAACTCAAGAATGGAAAACAGAATGTTGGTGGGCAGGAAAAGAGATTTAAAGATGGGCTCAAATCCAACCTTTAAAACTCTGGCATAGACATTGAGAACTGGGAAGCCCTGGCCCTTGAGCGCTCCAGCTGGAAGTCAGCTGTGACCAGCAGTGCTATAGAATTTGAAGAGGCATGAATGGAGGGCGAAAGAGAGAAATGTGCCAAGAGGAAGGCGCGTCAAGCCAACCCCAACCGAGACCGCCTTCCACCTGGAAACCAATGCCTTCACTGCGGGAGAAGATGCAGATCAAGAATAGGGCTCCACAGCCATCTACGGACCCACCACCAGTACACTGATCTTGGAAGACTATCCTACTCGGATGAGGGATCGCCTAAGTAAGTAAGTAAGTAAGTCAAGAGTAGTGGTATTTCCTGTTGGTTTCCCCAGTACTCATCAGTTGTGACTCTACTCATTCTCCAAAAACGAAGTGATTTGTGTCTTTGGAGTATTTATGCCTCACAAAAGTGTAACACTAATTGATGCTACACCGCACTTGCTTTCCATCTTTCAATCTTTATTACTGTATAACATTCAAAAAAAGTTACAAAAAAATGAACAAAGCAGGAGGAAAATACACAATGCTAACCTTGAGAAAATGTGAAGCAGCCTGGTTTTGAAATGCTCTACCTTCCTCCATGTCATGTTCAACACAAAACAAGAGCTAGTTACACAAATACATTTAGGTATTTATCAAATAACCAAAGCAAAAAAAAAAGGGGGGGGGGAATTGGAAATGTATAAAACAGTCCCTCTCGCCAGGTATGCATTTTGGGGGGTATTTACATTGAGGATTCTGAGGGCAAGAAGTAAGGCAGTGATGGCAAACTAAGTAAGGCTGGCACAGCGATTAGGGTGTGCTTCCAGATATGGCTTTTAGGCTTTTACTATGTCCATGTAAAGGGTGATCCAAAATACAGTACAATGGACTCTCGATATCCATTGCAGTATGGTCCTAGGACCCCTGTGGACACCAAAACCCATGGATGCCCAAGTCCCATTATATACAATGGCATAGTAACATGGCCTCTCCTACACAAAATGGCAATATCAGAGTTTGCTTTTGGGGGATTTTCATTGAATCCATGGATACAGAGGGACTTCCATATTTTCCCTTTGATATTTTCCTGTTGTTTTTTCCATGACACACAATCCCTTTTAATCTGTAGTGATAGGAGCCCCCCATCCCGAAGCAGTTGTAATTTCTTTCAAATAGTCCGACAATTCTTGCTTCTGTTTTAATCGTTGGTTCAGGACCAAGATCCCCAAAAGAGCTAGAGTTGTTCTCCTGCCGATTCTGCCGCCTGCCAGAACTCAGTGCTTTCCCTGAGTGGGAAAGGGTACAATGGCTCCAAATCCCTTGCCTGGCAGAGGATCGTAACAATAAAAATAATAATAATAAAGTATAAAATAATAATAACAACCACAAAGAACACACTAGGCAGAAGTTCCACGTTCACATTGCGAATAGATCTTCCAGGCACTCTTCACACATTGAGCCGTGCCATTTTTCCGTCTCTGTCTCTCAATCTCTCTTTTCCCTCAAATGGGACCGAGTTCGAGTCTTGCCTTCCTGGCCGATGGCAGTGTCTGGGAAGGAGGGGCCTGAAGTCCGTGGCTCTGGCAGACGCGCAGCCATCAGGGGCTTCACAGCTCCTTGAGGGTCACCTGGAACTTCTCCTCTGCCTCAACCACGTCCAGCAGGAAGGCCATGTGGTTGCTGTAGTGCTGGATGATGTTGTTGTCCATGTTGACAAGGATTCTGCAAGGGAAGGATGGCAGAGAGGTTAATGGTGTTACATTACAGAGCTTCATCCATCCATAGTTTGGCATCAGACACTCCCTGCAGAGAAGCTTTGAGTCACTGGGTTGTTGTAGGTTTTTTTCAGGCTATATGGCCATGGTCTAGAGGCATTCTCTCCTGACGTTTTGCCTGCATCTATGGCAAGCATCCTCAGAGGTAGTGAGGACTGTTGGAACTAGGAAAAAGGGTTTATATATCTGTGGAATGACCAGGGTGAGACAAAGGACTCTTGTCTGCTGGAGCTAGATGGTCAGTTGAAACATTCACACCTAGCTCCAGCAGACAAGAGCCCTTTGTCTCTGTACTAGAGGCTCTGAGCAAAGAAGTGAAACCATGGATAAGTGAGATTGATTCTGGGGACAAAGAGGTCATACAAGATTAAAATGATTTTCTTTGGATCCAGGAATTACGGTATGTTGTTTCTCTTTCTAGGCAATTTTTGGGGCTGAAATGTTCTGGGATGTCACGGTTCAAGTCTGCCAGGGAAACCCATTGTGCGGCTTTGAGCATGTAACATTTTCTCAGCCTCAGAGGAAGGTCATGGCGAAGCGTATAACTCAAAACATTAGCAATCCAGAGGCTAGGGTTCGAATCCCTGCTTGGCAATTAATCATAGAATCATAGAGTTGGAAGAGACCTTGTGGGCCATCCAGTCCAACCCCTTGTCAAGAAGCAGGAAAATCCCATTATAGTGCCTCCTCCCCCCTGACAGATGGCCAACCAGCCTCTGTTTCAAAGCCTCCAAAGAAGGAGCCTCCACCACACTCCAAGGAAGAGAGTTCCACTGCTCTGGAAAGTTCAATGGATGACCGACGGCTGGATTTGGGCAAGCCCCACTCTCTCAGCCTTAGAGGAAGGCAAGGGCAAACATCTCCAAAATACTCATAGAAATATTGCCAGAAAAACCCTAAGAAATGGTTAAGACCCTAAGAAAGGTGTAAATATGTGCTGATCCCAGCTTTCCATGTAATGGGCATAATCTAGCTATAAATTACATTGGTTTCAGTTATCCTTAATGTTGACATATATTCATAGTCTTGGTGGGGGGAAAAGACTTTTTCTGCATTCTACGTTTCCTCAAATATGGTGTTTGGACACCAATTTAGACTGCGATTAACTGACAGATAGGTAGGAAACAACATAACGCACACATCATGCTCCACATTAGACCACGTCTAAAAGAAGTCATGATTCATGCGAGAATTCAAGGAATGTTAGCCAGCCTCAGATAGAAAAGGGAAAATCCCAGCCCAATGAAGCCAGGAACTGGGCGAGTTACTGCCATATTTTGCAATTCTCCAGTCTGTCATCGTATTGACCCATTATTCCTTTCTCTTTAGTCTGCAGAAAAGAGTTTTATATGGCTGTGAAGTTATCTGAAGAATTACAGGAATTTGGTGGCATGGCCCCAGTTTGTTTGCTTTGAAGAAGACCCTCTTCATTCTGTGATGCTTTAAAAATGACCCTGATCTCAAAGACAAATGTCATCTGCCTTCGTGGCGCAATGGGTTAAATCCTTGTGCTGGCAGGAGTGAAGACCAACAGGTTGGTGGTTTAAATCTGGGGAGAGCGCAGATGAGCTCCCTCTGTCAGCTCCAGCTCCCCATGCTGGGACATGAGAGAAACCTTCCACAAGGATGGTAAAACATCAAAACACCCGGGCATCCTCTGGGCAACGTCCTAACAGACGGTCAATTCCCACACACCAAAAGCAACTTGCAGTTTCTCAAGTTGCTCCTGACATGAAAAAAAAAAATCTGTGCTTCATAATGTTCAGCTTGTGCATTTTTTCCCCATAGGTTAGATGTGGTGCTTTTTTACTTGAATGGCATCCAATGGCTTCAGGGCCTGAAATGTTGCCAATTGGACATCCCTAGGACTTGTTCTTTGAGCTACTTTCTGAATCAATCTGAATCAACCTTTTGGATGTACTTCCCTGCAACAACCAGGCTGCATTTGTTAGGTATTTGATGCCTCAAGGCAGTTTTTAATTTTCCAATTTCATCTTTTTTATTTAAAAAAAAAGGTGGGGAGAAGATAGAGTTTAATTGTTATTGTTGGTTGGCAGGACTGGAGGAAGTGATAGGGGAGGAGTACTGTTATTTTTGTCTCAGATCCTTCTGTTTTGTTTCTTATTTTAGTGTTTGTGTGCTCCTTTTCTTTTTAATTAGTTGGGAAAATTTAATTAAAAATCATTTTAAAAAAAGAAAATAAGTGCTCTTCTTTCCCAGGCCTATACAAATTCGAACCTCAAGTCTTGCTAGCCAAAGATTGCAACCTTGTGTTTTTTGCTCCTTTGCAGAAACCTCATAAATAGGGCACTTGCCAAGTATGGCTACGGTGTGGCCTATTCTCCTGTGGGATGACCAGCATGGTATCCACACTCTCTGTTTGCATTAATGTCTCAAGCCATGCGCAGTGGTTCCTTGCTGCATAGGGCGCACCTTCTGGCAGCTCAGCTTGTATTTTGAAGCCGGAGCCTTGGATCGGGGCCAAGGACAACAATGAGCTCACTTGCCAAGCATCGATAGGGAGGGTGGTGCGGGGGAGACTCACAAAGGTGATGCACCCAACGATGCTATCAATGCGCTTTCCAAGGAGGACTTTTTCAAGACAAGTAGCAAAGGCTTGCCAACGGGGGAGATGCTCCCCACCTGCCAGTGAAGGGGAGAAGGCTGCGGTTTGGTGCATAACCCGAGGCACTTGAGAGGCACAGCTGTTGCTTTCAGAGGCTGCTCTGGAAAACCTCAGCAAGTTCGTTCCCAGGGATCTAAACATGCTCCTCCAAAAGTAGAGGGCCTCTCGCCTCTTCTGCGGAAGAAACCAGGCCACATCACCGAAGCAGCAGAAGATCATAGAATCATAGAATCAAAGAGTTGGAAGAGGCCTCATGGGCCATCCAGTCCAACCCCCTGCCAAGAAGCAGGAATATTGCATTCAAATCACCCCTGACAGATGGCCATCCAGCCTCTGCTTAAAAGCTTCCAAAGAAGGAGCCTCCACCACACTCCGGGGCAGAGAGTTCCACTGCTGAACGGCTCTCACAGTCAGGAAGTTCTTCCTCATGTTCAGATGGAATCTCCTCTATTGTAGTTTGAAGCCATTGTTCCGCGTCCTAGTCTCCAAGGAAGCAGAAAACAAGCTTGCTCCCTCCTCCCTGTGGCTTCCCCTCACATATTTATACATATTTATATCTCCTCTCAGCCTTCTCCTCTTCAGGCTAAACATGCCCAGCTCCTTAAGCCGCTCCTCATAGGGCTTGTTCTCCAGACCCTTGATCATTTTAGTCACCCTCCTCTGGACACATTCCAGCTTGTCAATATCTCTCTTGAATTGTGGTGCCCAGAATTGGACACAATATTCCAGGTGTGGTCTAACCAAAGCAGAATAGAGGGGTAGCATTACTTCCCTAGATCTAGACACTATGCTCCTATTGATGCAGGCCAAAATCCCATTGGGTTTTTTTGCCGCCACATCACATTGTTGGCTCATCTTTAACTTGTTTTCCACGAGGACTCCAAGATCTTTTTCACACGTACTGCTCTCAAGCCAGGCGTCCGCCATTCTGTATCTTTGCATTTCATTTTTTCTGCAAAGAGGACTGGTTTGAACATTGGGTCACATCTCGGGAGACCAGGGTTCAGTTATTTGCTTGGCTGTGGAAACCCACTGGGTTACATTGGACAAGTCACACACTCTAAGAAACCCCATATAGGGTTGCTATAACCTGGAAACAACTTGAAGGCACACCACAAACATCTCCTGATGTTCATTTTCAGGAGCTATGGCACCATTTTTGACTTGGATCCGACCAATGATCTAGAGCACCATGTTGATGGGACAGGGCAGAAACTCCAGAAACTAGGTCCACAATATTGAATGACTTCTAAGCACACGGCCAAAGAATTTGGGGCAGATTTGTTTTTGTTTTTGAGTAGACCTTCTCATCATTCCCACTTGGTTCCTCTCAAGATCAGAAGCAAGTAAACTAACAATAAACTAGCCAGGAGCAAAAGATTGGCATTTGGAATTATATCCAAACCAAGAATTCTTGATTTGTGGCTCACCAACAAGCCATGGGTTTGAAGTCAACCATGAAAGCACTGGCTTATGAGTCTGGCTTGTTCATGGAGCCAAAAATGGCATTCCATATGGATGTAATGCTAAGTTTTTGTCTCCTGCTTTTAGCTTCTGGATACTTAAGTCAGCAGAGAAGAAATGTTCTGGAAACACAGGGAAGCATAAATCAAGATCCTCCAGAATTCTGGATTGCTGTTACATATAAATCCTGAACTAGGAAAATGTAAAGGGGCAAGTTATTGGAAGATCATATCAAATCAATGAATGAATCAATCATGGACCTGAGAGCATCCCGCTAGGTGTCTCCAAGTCATTTCCAGCTTATGAAGACTTCAAGGAGAACCTAAAATGGTGCTTTCTTGTCAAGATTTATTTGGAAGAAGTTTGCCCTTCCTGTCCTCAGTGGCCGAGAGAGAGTCACCCAATGGATTTCCATGGCCAAACCCTGATCTCCAGAATTGCAGTCCAACATTCAAACCATGCTGGATCACACACCCAAAATACACAACCAATACAATTAGTAACATGCTTATAATGTACTAGCTGTCCCCTGCCGCGCGTTGCTGTGGCCCAGTCTGTTGATCTAGTAATAAAGTAATGAGAAAGTGTTGGTTTCTAATATATGTAATGTCTTTCTGCTTGTGGTTAAACAGTATTTCTTGCTGTTTCTTTGTCATGTTGATGTGGAGATTGTCTGGTTTGCCACCCTGGAACATGCAAGATATCATTTTTCTTCTTTAAGGGTCCCTTTCAAATCTATGATACTATCTCTCTCTCTGTGTGTGAATCATATCTATCTATCTATCTATCTATCTATCTATCATCTATCTATATATATCTATGGCTGGATGGCTCTTTGTCAGGAGGCTTTGATTACG